TGATAGCGCAACCAGGAGGGCTAGTGTCAAAATTTGTTGGGTCCAACTCACCTGCTTTTAACCAAGCAACCAAAGGTAGTAAGGTACCTAATACCTAGTCGTTGCTTCGTTTCTTTAAGGGGGAAAGAGGGCCGCATTGCATGCATTGCCCATCCAGTGTCCACCGAGCAGCCAAGGGCAGCTCGCCTCCGAACATTCACACGCACACAATAGTCGGCCCAGCACCACATGTTGGCCTGTGGGCTGTAACGCGCCCCCTTTGTCTGCTCCGTATGGACATCTGGGCATTCGAATGACCTTTCTTCTGCCCTCATTGGTAGCCCATCGCTTGTCTCGGCCGCCGTCCATGGGGCGCGAATAGGCCGAATGGCGCAAGATCCGGACGTGGGGTTGGTTCATGACCCTGAATCTAGCACACCACTCAGCGATGCGAAATTGAAGCTGTCATGGGCTAATCTTTCTATTGCTCAGCACCTCTCATCCTATCCACGTATTCGTATCCATGCGACCGTCACATATCCTCGGACAAGACAAGGAGCCGCGGGTTGTTTGATGTTCTGGCGGTTCAGCTTTTCTCTTCCCTTCTTCTTCTTTCTTTATGGTCTGTTTTGTTTCGTTCCCTGGTGTTGAGCATTGGTATTTTGATTGATGTAGGTAAGGTATCCCAAACAGATACTCCGTACTCCGTACACTGAGCGCTATTCGGTCGAGTCGAGAAAGCCGTGTCCAATTAGCTCAAGTCCCATGGTCAACGCAACTGTCAATGTCACAATAAATCACCATGTGTTGCCTAACCCACCCGAGCAAACCAACGCCAGCAACGCAGCCAAACTGCATTGCGCCAAGCAAAGTACCAGCTACACGCGTCTACTTCTGCCCTCCACGGAATTGTGGCGTCTGTCGGTGACTTGACCACACTCAACTCAATATTGTGAAAAAGTACCTACAATTACACCAATGCACTCTCGGTGGACTGCCTTTCCGAACGGGGCCAGTGACGTTTCATAAAACATGCAGACGGGAATGCACAAATCGTCCAAAGAGGTAAATTTCTTCCACTCACCACCAACATGAACAGGCAGTTTCTCATTTCGGAGCATTGAGCAACGAGTTGTGCAAATGCGACCCTCCCCCGTGTGACAGCAGCGGGAGCTCATCGATTGGCCAATCCAACAGGAACGGCAGCTACCCCTGACCTGTGCGATCTGGGCGGCCCGGCCAATCAAACCGTCTGATCTCTTTTCGGCCTCCGTCTCTCAACCGTTAATCGCGTCACGTGATAACACGAATACGAGACTGCCCCTCCACACATCATTCATCATTTCCATCATTCCCGTTGATAAGAGCCAAATCCAAGCTCCGATTAAGACATGGCGGGGTAATGCCTGATGAGCCGTCGCAGCGCCCGGCCACCGCCTTTGCTGCGGCGTCTCAAGCGTCGCTCTAGCTTCTAGACCGTTTTGCAGAACGTCATGACGCCCTTCTTCTTTTTCTTTTCTTACCTCACCAGAAGTGAGGCGCTGATTAAGGTTTGTGGAGCGCCTGCCGTCTGACTGGTACAGACCACATTTCCGTCGGTACGGAACTCAACTTTCTCAGCTGTCTGGTCCATCTAGAATTATCATCGACGCTTGAATTTCCTACAGAGTTATTCCCTATGTGACTTTCGATCTACTCTGCTTGGTCCAAAAGTCATTCAACCTCTTCTTGTTAGTGTGGACACTTCTGTAGTGTAGTACTTCAGGCTTTGACACACCAAACACCGAATTCAGGGCTCTTACAACAGCGTGTTTGGATTTAGACCATTCCGAGATATAATAGGTTGCCGCCGATCGAACCCTGAGTCTCATGCTCGGTATTTTTGACTGAGTGAGAGAGCTCAAGTTTGACATATTTAAGCTCTACGCTGCTGCGAAACTCAGGATTCGGGTCATCTTGCAAGCCATAACATGTCCGTCACATGTATCCGACTGCATCTCACTTGGCAATCTTCTCATGGTAACTTGAATCATATCAGGACAGACTTCTTAGTCCATCGTCAAAAATATTTCTTCAAAGCGGGGTTCACAAGCGCGGGAAATACTCATAGCCCTTTGTTGAGACTGGCCGGAAAGGCATTCGCAGTCCGTCTATCGCGGACGGCCAACCTCAAGAGGTTTCAACCGGCCGTATTTGTCAAAAATGTTCAGGCGTATGCATAGTAAGGCATCGAAGCTAAAGACGAGTTCATAGCCCTGCAAGCTGGACGGAATAGCTGGCGACAGCTATGAGCAGAGCCTTACAATTTCGATGCGTTTTAGCATCAACAAACACCTTTCCCTGGCTTCAGACCCGGTGTAATTAGAGCGCAACTCCAGCTTGTCCGAGTGTCTTCGTGCCATGGTGGTTCTGCCTGCTGGATCGATGTTCAAGCGTCTCCCGTTTCAGAGCCTCTCGTGGTTAATCAATTACAATCGCAAGCGGGATGTCTGGGGTGAATGAATCTCCTCTCATCCCTTCAACATAAACTATCACCGAAGCCTCTTTGCGTCTTTCGCGTATGCTGATGATGAAGACACATAGCCTCACCTCGCAGGGGAGCGGAGCCTTACTAAGATACCTCATGTTATCTATCACGTTGATATGAGTTTTGCAACGCCTCGTGCTCCGAATCCTACTTCCATCGCCCACAAACAAGAAAAACTGTCGTGTCTGAGTCCCATGATACACGTGAAGTCTCATGTGGAGCGGCCAATGAAGCAAGATATTGCAAAGCCGGGAATAATGAAGTTATAACTGAAGAGGTTGAAGAGCTGATGAATAGATCGGGTGAGAAGCAGATGCAGTAGACTGAACTTCAAACTCTGGCAAACAAAGTTTAATTAGATGACCTGTTGACGTAGCCAAGTCAATCAAGTTCACCAACAAATTGCGCGTCGCATTGAATGTACAGACTACGCCGCACCTAACCAGCCACGCGGCCCCCATGGGAGTCAGGGATGCTGACGGTTTGACCGCAAGTACAACGAACAGAACAACGATATTGCGTAGTCACGTTACGGTATGGGTAGACGAAGCAACATCCCCCCATTATGATTAAGCTTGTTTTTAGCCGAATAACAAAGTTTCTTCGGCGCCCGGTGTCGAAAGTTTTCATCATCGCAAAGCCCGGGTCTTTGGACGATCAACGCCCGATTCACTAAGAACTGTCGTCTGATCTTTTCCCGCTGCGGTTATACAGCCGGATCGTCTCTTTCGATTGGGATCAGTGTGATGAGTGAACACTTCCAATGATAGGAGCCCGGAGCCCGGCAAGACTCTTAAAGCCATCAGCAAGCTTCTTCGAGACGCTTCGAGAAGAAGAGAGAAAATGAACAAGGTCTCGTTGTTGCCCATGGGCGATTCGGCACCGGCCCCGATCTGTCTGTGAAGCGAGCGTTCGTCACCCGGCCCCACCACGCCTGACGACACCACCTCGAGCAGCGAAAGAGGGAAGAAGAAGTCTAGAAACCGTTTGCTGAAATGCAAGGCGGGTGGGGTAGGTGACTCGGAGTGAGTCAGCTCGGATATGAGCGGGATGCAAGATTGCGACCCGTATACCAAGATCAAGGCCATGTAAGTGCGGCTACGTACGCAGGCCAGAGGAGGAAACTTTTGCAGTGAAGAAAATTTCGGCGCAAAGCATTGGGTGACTGAGTAGACACTTGGGGAATCTTTTCACCGCATTCTTGGCATGGTTTCAAACGAGGCCAAACATCGCGGGAGGGCTACGGTGCAGTAGGCACTTCCGAGTCCAAGTCGGCCGCATCTTACTCCGACTGACACTCCCACGACGCCGCACATGGCATTCGCGATGAACCAACCACAAGCTTTGGAAAAAAAAAAAAATACACACTTGACACTTGATACATTTTCGTTGCCGTAGATATGCAGCTGAAGCCTAAGAAATGTTACGCGAATCTAGGCAGAGTAGGCCTGGGTGCTCTGAGTTTGCTGGGGGGCTTGCTGCCGTTGATGGGGCTTCTCGTCAGGCAGACGTGTCTGTCAGCAAACTCGTACCGGAGGTAAGATAGTGTACTCGGAAATTCTACAAACGGACGTAAGCCATTTCTCCCATCAAACCCTATCTCTATGAAAGTACACATCATCCGGTGCATCTTCACACCGGGGCGCTTACCTTATCCCCGGCCCCATCCCCCTGTTGGCTCCCAAGACGATCACCTCCAAGGATCTAACCTACACTTCCGCCTTGTATGGCTTACATGGAGCATACGCACCCTTCGGTATCACAGAGTCCCAAGATTCGCATACGTGACTCTAATGAGGCTGGCAAGCTTGCATCGAGGCGCATGAGGCACAATAGGACGCATGGGCGTAATGACTCACACGGCTGTTTCTATCTTACCGAACAACGTCTATTCGTCCTATTCTAGCCGCCCCCCCCCCTGTTCGCAAGTGCCGCTCCGGATGTTCGTTCTGTTCGTAGTGTAGGCTTACCCGCTGCTCTGGGAACCGTTTACCTTACGGATACCGGCCGGCAGACTTGCGGGCGGCCACGCGTGACTCCCTTTCCTGCGGATTCCCCTTTGCTCCACACCTCCGAGCTGCAAAGGGTTTCCCATCTACGACCACGACCACGACTACCGATGACGCCGTATCGAGACGCGCAGCTGGGGGGCTATGGTACCTGGTTTCCAGCAAGATGCGTACCCACATCTCAAGTCCATAGTCCCAAAGTGTGTAAGTCATGGAAAGTACCGTACTCTCAGGTCTTGAATTTCAAAACTATGGGATCGACTTGGTATAAGTTAGAGACCTTTCCATGCTTCATCCTCAGGTTTGTCTTTCTGGATCATCCTCATCAACATCAAAGCAATTCAGAATCAATCAGACAATCGAACACTACTTCCCCCATCTTGATACCAAGATCACCTATTCTATTCCAAGGCTTTATCCGAACAAAACCACCCACCATTAAACCCTCCTCCGAACCATCACAAACCCAAACAATCAAAGCAGCCATGTCCGGAATGCACTCCACCTTCTCCAGCTCCATTACCGGCGACACCCGCCACAGCTACGCTCTCCTCTCCGCGATACAAGAGGGTTCAAAGGCCTCTTCTTCTTCTTCCGCCTCCTCCTCATCCCCCTATCAAAAGGAGGCAGACGCCGCCTCAATGTCAAGCTTCGGCAGCTCCATGTCCCTCCTCAAGAGCAAACTGAACAAGCACTCCGCCGGCTCGGCAAGATCATCATCATCATCATCATCATCATCTAAAAAGTCTTCATCCCTGATTGCCCGCCAACGGGCCGCCGAGGACGCGAATACGCAAATCATGTACTCGCAGGCTGCATACTGGCCCTCCTCTATCCGCACCGACTTGTAAAAGAGCCGTCTTGGCAAGAGCAGAACCATTGGATATACGGACTCATGAGAAAATACTAAAATGGAATGCGGCGGCGGGAGAAGGAAATGGTGCCGCCGCCATGCTTGTATGATGGGACTTACAGGAGTTTTGGGAGTTGGTTTCTTACATTTTAGACGGCCGCGCTGGAATAATCGCCATTCAGATGGGGTCTTTCTGGGTTAAAATATTTCTTACGTTCTTCGACGTCTACAACATGGCAAATGTCCGAAGCAACACGTATTATACCGGTTTATGCTTAGATTGATGGGAGCAAATATCCTCGGAAAGGATCAGAATCAAAGAGTTCCATAAATGTTACTCAGGATATCTTGTCTATCAGTAAGGTAGCCTTATATATTTTCAAATAGGATCAAAAGCTTTCATTGAGAATGTCCTCGTTCATCTTGACCATCGTAGGACTATACTCTGAGCTTTCCGGCTCGGCGCCAGCCGTAAGTAGAATATCGTCCACAATGCGCTTGCTGGCCTCGCGAGCTAGTAAATTTTGTCAGTAAACGGATCGATCACTGCAGAGCTTGTTCTTATTGAACAAAAGGCCACTCACCAGGGGTCTGAAGCAGTTTCGACGGCGGAAGCGCAAACTGGATGGTCTTGGGCGGGCTCATACCGCCATACAGCCCATGGTCCTCGTCACTATCGCTTTCCCAGTCGATCTCGTACCTTTGCTTATCAAACTTGGCACCGAGATCCGTAGTCGTATCGTCATCGTAGTTGCCTTTGGTAGCAAACACGTCCTTGGTCTTCCTCGCACCACCTGGTGTTTGCACGCTCACGCCCGGGGTTCGCGGTCCCGCAGATGCAGTCGCGGCAGCAAGACGCTGTCGGGCATTGCTCTTGATAGGAGACATGAAGGCCTCGCTACGTAGCTTTGGAACGGCCATGACCGGCGAGGACATGGGCGAGTCCTGCTGCCATGCAGGTACGTTTTCCTTCTCCTTGTTCTTGTCATCGCGCTTCAGCGGCGAGACGCGGTAAGTGGGACCCTTGTGCGGCGTAGCCTGGATGCGGAACGTCTTATCAAGCATGCGGTGCATGAGAGGGTCCTTGTGGCTCTGCTGCTGTTGCGGCGGCGCGAACGAGGAGCGTGGTGTCATGGACATGTCTGGAAGACGGGCCGTGTGCTGCGCAAAGAGGACAGTTGAGTCCTCCTCGAGCCCAAGATCCTCGTTCTCGTCGTCCTCCTCGTGCGGTGCAGGTGGCTCGCCTTTCAGCTCGCGCTTGAGTGTCTCGTAGGGGGATTCGAGGTTTGAGAACTGCGGCTTCATCGTCTTTGTTTTAGGTGGCCGGGGTGTGCTGCCAGTGAGGTCATTGTCATCGAGTACGGAATCGTCTGCACGGAAAGTAGAGTCGGCGGTCGAAACTATGGTCATGTCTTCGCCTTCGGTGCGTTGTTGTTGGGGTGTGCGGGTATAGTCGACGGATGTATCTTCTTGAACGGTCGACTCCTCTTCAGTTGCGCCGGTCTCATCATTGCCATTGTTGGCGTTCTCTTCGTAACCGGAGAGGGAAACGTTGGCCGAGGCCTCGAAGAATTGTTTCCAGAACTGCAGGTTCGCTGTGTATTAGCGATGCTGGAGTGCCAAAGTATGAGAATGTCACAGAAATAAGCGCAACACACCTTCGAAGCATCCCAAACGTTTCGCGAATGCTCGCCATATTGCTCTACAATGGGCAAGATATTCGTGGTTACGATACGGTGCGCCTTGCTAAAGTTGTGGTCGATTTCTTAGGGAACGGTTAGCCGATTTGAAATGGATAGGCCAAGTTCTCTTCGATGCGGTGTACTTACCCTGGAGAGTCAAGGTGATAGACTGCTCTAACTTCTCCAACTCTTCTGTGAGAGTGAGATTCCGTGCGGAGGGGCCGGGACGAGCCATGGTGCTAGCTTGTTCGGCGATTGTTGAGCTTGAGGGTCGCAATAAGAGAGCTCAGTTTGTTTTGTTCAAGTGCACGATTTCTCTCGTCCAAAGGAGGGAAGTAAATCAACAAACGCGGGCAGGTGGGATACGCGATGCGGGGCACTGCCAGGGGGTTCGGAGCCGGGGCATCACTTTGGCGGGGCAGGCTACCTTAGCCTCCTGTCCCGTCCATGTTCCGCTTCGGGGCCGCTTGTCATCCCAAGTCTTTGCTATCAGATCTCAATGCACCGGTTCCCTTACTTGGATCATTGTTACAGGGTGATATAATAGATACTGTAAGCGAAAATGATGGAACTCCAACATGGTGGCTAATTATTGATCTAACGCCTGGGGTATCTTATCTGTTCATCAATAATCCAACCGTTCCTCATCAAACGATCATGCCTTAGAGTAGTAGCCAGACATGTCTAGCTTCAGTACAAGCTGAGCTATGGGGTTTCCCTCTAGTGCGTCAACTCTTCCTGAGGACAGCTTCTCTCCAGCTGTATCCTTCGTTCCGTAATCTCCTTTTTCACTCAGGCCCTTGCAAACCGCCAAGAAAACCTCGACATTCCGCTTAAACATCTTGTATAGGCCCTTGGCGGTAGCGTCACCTTGACCACGAGATTTCCGCCCTTCGTTTTGGAGTCTCGAGTATTGGGCGAACTTCAACACGACCCGGAAAATATCGTCGAGAAGCTTGAGCACAGGCTGTTGCCGCTTGCGCAAGAGTAATGCAAGCATGATTCGATCAAGCACTTGAGAATGGTGTTCCCTCAGGCGATCAGGGCTAAGGACTGAGGTAGAGACTGTGCTCTGGTCTTCGGCCCTGAGATCTATCTCAATTTGGCTCAGTAGTTTCTCGAATGCCTGCCACGGCATTCCGATGCCAATATCGAAGATGTAGGAACTGAGGCTGGATACAAAGTGACGAGCTTCAAAGCAGAAGCGAATAGATACGTCATCGACATCTTGCCAGCCCGACTCCCTAGCCGTGACATCGCGGAAGATACGATTGACAGTATATTGCATCCGCAGCACCCGAAGTAGCAGTTTGAAAATTCGGTCATACTGCACTAGAATAACGGGGGCGATAATAGCCCCTAAAGCTGCAGGTGACTTATAGGATAGCCGGAGAAAGTCCAAGGCCTCTAGTCCCGTAGGATCCATGCATTTGTCGATCTCCTCATTTGAGAGACTCCGGACTCCGAAACTAAGATCCCCGGGGAGTTCGTTCTTTTCGCCATCTCGAGGTCTTGAATCTTCGTGCAGCGATCCCTCATAACTTTCCGTTAATACTCCCATCAGGGCCAAGCGTAGTTCAGAACTGGCGGGTGGCCAAGTGTCCCTACCGCTTAATCGTAATCCCATGACTCCGCCTTGGTGAGCAACACCAGACTGTCTCTCTGCCGTCTCGAGATCTGGGTCGAATAGGGCATGGGAGAGGCGGCTGCAGAAGAATCCGTTACCCAACAAGTGGAACTCTTTCTGAAGCTTCAGATGCTCGCGCAAGTTGTGGGATGTGAAGAGCAGTTTCAGACTTTCCCTGCCCACGACTCTAGATTGCGCAGATATGATGGACCCGAAGGAGAGGATCGGAAGCAGTGACCAATGCGGTGTAAAATCAGTGCCTGCACTGGCGATCTCGGTCGTAACATCAGACAAGCGATCCCTAATGATGATGCCTAGCAGGTCTTCGGACGTCGAGTCGGTAATCGGTTTGGCGAAGTCCTGAATAGATAAAACCAATTTGCTTTGTAGCTGGTTCTCGTCTAGACCAAACAGCTGCAATTGATAGGTCGCTGAGTTTCCAATCGGCCAAGCTGGTGCCGCTGTTTCGACTGATCCCTGCAGAGAAAAGTTCTTGATGGCTTCAAGAACCGCACTTTCATATGATCGGATCCTATCCTCCAACTGCACGACCGAGTCCCAATCAAAAAGCCACTCAACTGTCGGGGGTCGACTTGAAGAGATAGTGCTCTCTTGTGACAAAGGGTGTCCGGGATGATTTGACCTTATGAAACGAAGATTTCGTCCAACCTCGAATAGAGATTTGACAACATCTTCCGGCATAAAGCTAGGTATTCGCTCAGTATCAAGGCGGAAATCGACCTCGTCGACCTCGTCACCGAAATCGTCCATATAGGTTTCGGATTCCACCTTGATGAAGCCCTTTTGTCTTCCAACTTCGTGTTTGCTCAGAGGCACGCCAAGTTCACGCCGTGTGCCGATCCACTCTTCGACAAGCTCAATCCAGGGTTTTGATACTCGCCGGAGGACTTCTCGCATCATATCTCTGAGATGGGTCTCGGCGTACTCAGCAGATTGAGCCTGCTGGAATACAATGACGAAAACATCTTCATCTAGATGATCTCGTCGTATCTTTGACACCAAGGACTCAAACTGGCGCAAAGTAGTGTATATGTGCGCGACGAGCGATTGAACTTGGAGAATCGACCGTGGGTGTTGGTGATGCAAGGCGACACTGCTTTGGATAACCAACAGGGCCTTGTCCACAGCACTCGCCAAAGCAACGCGGCATGGAGTCGGGTTCTTCAAATACGTGCTGTCGACAAACTTGCGAAGTTGACGATATGTATTGCCACACTTAAGACACGAACGCTGAACTTCCTGGACAGCCTTACCCGAATATGCCGGTATCCTGATCTGGGGTAAGGCTGGCTTGAAGGCTTCATGCTCGTCTTGCCAGGAGAAGAACACTGAGTCTCTTCCCAGAGCCAAAGCTAGAAGCGCATTGCAATATGTCCCAGCTTCCACCACGGTGAAGTCAGCACTTCCAATACGTAGAGGATCCTCTTGAAGCCCAATCAAGGCATCAAATGCCCCAGGCCCAGCCTCAGTTATGAACAACGGCTTTTTCGAGGGTATGTCGGGAGATTGGAAGCCTTCCCAAGTCTTGTAGTCTGGTAGCTTCGCGGCGGGCTTGTCAAATTCCAACCAAAAGTCGGCCACTTCTGCCTCTTCCTCTGCTGTGGGCTCTTCAAACGTAAAATCGGGGATCTGGTCCGTGTTCGACTCCTCCTGCTGCGGTGCAGGGTC